AACCTCATCTGGGTGTTCCTGCTCCGGCAGGGGGATTGGACTGGATCAGCTTTTGAGGTCCCTTCCAATCCCTAACGTTCTGTGATTCTGTGAAGAGTTTCAAGTGCCATTTCTCTCCTCAAAACATTGTGCCAGGATAGGCAGAAATCACTGGCCACGGGTTGGGCGGTGAAGCAAGAACAAAACAGCCCACGGGCAGTACCCAGTGGCTTTTGCTGCAGGAAGGACAGACTACATATACAGCTGTGCTGACTCCACCAACCTCAACGCTGCCAGAGGATGCCCCAACACACAGGGCAGTGAGTGTGAGAATGCAGCAGTCTCAGGGGCCAGGAAGAGCTCAGCTTCTTTCCTGTCACAGCACAGACCTGTCCCTGCCAGCCTGTCTGTCCCCAGGCCCTCACCCTGCTTTGGAGAGGGGACGCCCTGCTGCGCTGCAGTCGTGGTCCAGGGGGTGCCGGTGCTTGAGGCAGTAGTTCTTGTGGCACTGGTCACAGATCACCTTCATCATCTCCTTCTGCTTGCAGCCAGGCTTCAAACACTTGTTGGTGAATATCTGAAAGAGAACGTGGTGGTGGTGAAAAGGAACATGCCCAGCAGGCCCTGGGCTGTCCCTTCTCTCCACGCCAGGCCCTGGACACTGACCCTTTCTCTCCCAGTGCCACTTCTGGGGGACTCTGGAGTTTGTCTCTGAGTACCAGTTATCTCACAGAATTGTAGGAGTTGGAAGGGACCTCAAAAGCTCATCCAGTCCAACCCCTGCCAGAGCAGGATCACCCAGACCAGGTCACACAGGAACACGTCCAGGCGGGTTTTGAATGTCTCCAGAGAAGGAGACTCCACAACCTCTCTGGGCAGCCTGGGCCATGCTCTGCCACTCTCACAGTGAAAGAGTTTATTAGAAATTCACTGGTGCTTTGGTCTCCACAATCACAGAATGCACAGCAGGATGGGCTGCCTGGCCCAGGGACTCCTGCCTGCCCTGCCATTGCAGTGGGGACAGCACAGAGCCCTCCAGCTGCTGCTGGGCTGGGCTCTTCCAGGGCCAGCTCCATGCAGCAATTTCCTCTCCCGGCAAGAAGGGTCAGCTAATTGCTGATTGCATTTTCCTAATGGCAGCACAGTTTCCCATCCTCACGTCCTATGGGGCTGCCCAACCCCACCCCATTGCAGTCTCAGTCCCAGACTCACAAAGCCCTGCAGACTTGCACACTTCTTCCTGGGCTCCTACCTTGCGTTTGCGCTGTGCGGGGTCGGACTTGCAGTCACGGTCAATGTGCTCACCCACCACCACATCAGGCATCTCCCCCCGCCTCACCGGGACTGGGGTGTTGCAGAGAGGACACACGGGGACCTGCACATCCTGTAGAGACAGGTAAAGGAGGCTGGGAGCATGTAGCTGGGCAATCTCAAGTGCTGTGTGGCCATCTCTCTGCCTTTCAGGATCTGCCTGCTGCAGCTTCCACAGCATCACCTGTGGTTTGAGATCCTCCTCACCCCCTTCCAGAAGGCTTGCTGTTTCTGACCCTGTAGCTGCGACAAGCACAGGCACACTCTCTGGGAAGGGAGGGACAGCAAGGCTGGGAGATGCCAAATCATTTCACGCAGTGGCACAGGGCCGGCTGGAAGTTTGTGGCACTGAGATACAGATCCTGGCTTTCAGGGACACTTCCAGACTCAGTGCACATCCCAGGGGATATCGTCCAAGCGGCCAAAGTCACAGATTATTCTGATCGCTGGCTGTGAATGCTCAGCAGTCCCGTGCAGCTGAATTAAAGCTCCTCTCTGCACTTACCTTCTTGTAGGCAGAGGTGCAGTCATGCTGGGCGTAAGCGATGTGGTCGGTGCAGAAGATCTGCTCGCAGGCATCACACTTCAGGGGAAGAAAGTCTGGGAGCAGGGAGATGCAGCGGACAGAGACATTGAGAGGTCAGCACTGCCGC